AACAATCTGTTCATCTATTATTAAAATTATTTTAGGCTTTGCAAACAAAACTAAATTCCTATAAACCTTTTTTTTTATCTCAAATTTGTATTATTCGATTATTTTTAATAGATTTATTTTCTTAAGTAACTATTCGTTGTTGTTCACGTCTATTAAAAACCAACTGTTGAACAACAATTTGAAGTTTCTCAATCTGATATATCTAAAGAAAATACAAAAACTCTTTTATCAATTGATAAAACTATAAAATTTACTATTAAAAATGGCATTTCATACAAGTATATACATACAATATTTGATTGATAAAATTTGAATGTTGAAAAAAAAAATTTATTTTTATTATTTTGATGTTAATTTAGGAGGAAGATAAAAATGAAACTACTACAACTGATCGAGCTTTTTGTATAAAATCTGTAAAACTAAAAGATTTTCAAATTTTTTATAATCTAATCAATTTTTCTCAATAAGTCAATTAAATATTTATTTTGATTTTCTATTAATCTAATAGAGATCTCTTAGTTGGTTAAATTTTACAATATTTCGATATTCATTAATTACTAATATATATATATATCGATTTACTGTATTTCTAAAAAAGAGTTATTCTTTTAGTCAATTGATCATAATGGAATTGAGCTGATGGATATTGATGTAAATAAAACAGCTGCTTGTGGATTAAATTGATGTTTTGTACATGAAATACTATCTCGTCAAAAATCATATCTCAATGATTTACTTGTATCATATTTATAATTTATTATATCATTACGATGAGAATGTATTGATTATAATTTTTGTTAATTATGTATTATCTATTCAAGTACAAAAGATCTTCTTGTTTTTTCATGAATAAAAATAATTGAAATATTTTAATTAGTTTTCATTAAACCGATAAACACTCGAACAGGATTACGAAGGTACGGATCCATGTTCTTTTTATCCTGAACTAAAATCAAAGTTCTATCAGAATGACTGTGTATATTGATATCGGTTTTTTTTTCATAACTTTTTCAAGATAGTGATATTCGTCAATTATTTAATTAAGGAAGGTGTAGTATGGAATAATGGAAATCGTATAGTATTTAATGTACCATTTGATGATTTAAAATCAATAATTCATCTTGGTACCAAAATCTATTTTTTCTTTTTAATATAGTGTTTGTTCTTAAATATTTTCTTTTACCTCGTATTGTCAATCTAACATTACATAGTTTTGATCGTCAAACAAAAATAACAGCTGGATGTGGGTGTGAATGTGGTGAAATGATATACACTCACACCCACACCCTTATTTGAAGTGTCCACCAACAGCTGTAATTGAATGAGATTGAAAGGAAGCACCAATCTTTGAGAATATAGGTTAACCAGTGCACTTCTGAATATTAAACTATTCAAAAAAATTATGATTCTACTTTGAAGAGAAACACTTTTGAGTACAATAAATTTTTGATCCTCGACTAAACTGCCGTTTCTAAAATAGAAAAATATGTTTTTGGATGACTCAATCTCAATTGATTCGATTTTAGAAAGTTTTCGTAATATAGCCTGAACTGTTGGAATAGTTCTTTCACTTATATGATCTGCACATTGATCTACGACTTGATTGATGCCTATTTGATAATCTATCTCTGATATGAATCTTTCTTATGATATTCATTCATATATTATGATAGGCAGAACTGTAGAATTGGTTCACAACTCAAACTAATATTATTTTTTTCATATTAAAATCATTTTCCATCTTAATGATTCTCGATACAGACAAGAATAAATCTCATGAAAATCTTGTTCACCAAAAGATTTTTCTCTAGAAAGATTCTTTCAATTCAACAATATAAAATAAATTGGGAACATAATTTTTGTTCAGTTAAATAAATGAAATGATCAGTAAAAAAATCTACAAATTATCAGTGTGAATATTGAAATGGTTAGTACTAAAGTGGTCAGTAATTAATTATAAAATGGTCACTGTTTTTATATACAAGTATCAGTAACAAATTCAAATTTTATCAGTAGAAGAAACAAGTTTTATTCGTATAAAGATTAATTTAGTGTAAGAAAAATAAATTTAAATAAATTAAAAACCCACACAATAAGTAAGAAGAAATTCAAAAGAACATAAAATAGAAATTCAAACAATGAATCGAGAAAAAGAAAAATAGAATTCAATTATTGTATTAGCAAAGCAGGCTTAGCCTTTGCTGGTCTATCTCTTTTTTTTTCTCACCGGTCAGCACTGTTTTTGCTGCTAGCGGTATCTTGCAATATTTCAAACGATTACCCAGGCAGGGATAAAAATGGTAAAATGGCATTAAAATGCCTTCAAATTGCAATAAAAAATGGTGTGAAATGGTCATGAATAATGCCCAAAACATGCCTCCGTGATCCGTTAAAATGATTTTTTTTTCGAACAGTGAAAATGGTCTTAAAAATGCTAAAATAATGCTTACAACACACACCATTTTTTGGCATTATTTGTGAGCATTTCACATCGTTATAATTATATTGATTTAAAGGTATTTTAATATACTTTATCATGTCTATCTCTGCCTCAACACATTTCGATTTTTATATTTACCATTTATTTAATTTACTGATTTTTAAATATATCAACAAACCTAAAGATTTCAATAACTGACGTTTAAATGTTTTGCTGATCATTCATTCAATTTACTGATCATTCTTTTTTTACTGACCATTTCATTTATTCTCCTGACCACTTAAATGGTAGCCAAATAAATTTAGGCTACCGACTATGTTTAGTTTACACATTAAATATTCATTTAATCATAAAATCATGCTAAAATGCTTTTGCAATACTCACTGATTATCTCAATCGTAATTTAGCCAAGATTTCATTTTTAATAATTAAAAGAAGAATGATTATTTTAATTTTAAATATGATAGACATTTCTAGACAAATAATCCACTAAATGAAGCAGATAGATCAATTGATAACCATTATAAAGAACATATTTTATTCTACCTTTTTTTCTTTCGTTTTAGTTCTATGTGATTATTTATTAGTGTAGAAAAATTTATTACAGAATATAGCAACAAGAAGGAGCATTTCACATGTATCTCTACAATAAATAATGTCCAATGCAGCCTTACATTGGAATCTGAACTCAACAGAGGCATTGTCGGAGTTTGTTGAAGATGTGAAACTATTTTTTTTTTGAAGGTGAGATTCGAAGTTGAAACAAATGAGCTTCTCGTACAATTCTACTTTCAAAACTAAAGACTGAACGAATAACGAATATCCATTCTGATGTTTTCTTTATATTACTTCTTTTTTCTTACCATATTGTTTTTAGACCTTGCATTAAATTAGGTAACATATTGATAATAGTCTCAAATGATTTAGCCATTTGTAAAGTTTTTAAATTGTAATTTTATATTATTAAATCCTCCTAATGAAGAACTATCAATACCTTTTTGCATTTGTTCTAAAATTGATGTTACTCGAATAGATCGTTCATGCCAAAATTCTAATTCAGCAAGTGGATTTGAATTTATTACTCGTTTATTTAATTCATTGTTAATTTCTTCATGTAATGTTCTTTTCCAATTATAAACAAGATATTCAAGATTTTCAATATATTCTTCATCTGTTTCATCTCCATTAAGTAAGAGATTTGCTATTTGGAATAATTAAATTAAATTCACCTTGCATTTGACGTTAAGTTGATTTAATATGTAAATGAAAACAATTTAAACTTAAATGTCATTGATCACGTTGAGTTGATTCTTCAATTGATGGAGATATTAATCCATCTATAGAAAAAAAAACAGGTATTAGTATAACTCGTGCAGGATAAAAATGTGATTCACAATGTTCAGGAAGATTGTTTTATTTTACCTATTTCAACAGACATTTGTTCACCCTCCGAGAATATAACAAGGAAATAGTTCACATATTATAATGAAACATTATTTGTATATGTCTATAACTGTAAATGACCAAGGTCTGCCACTGTCTGCGGGAGGTCGAAATTTTTACGTCTATACTGAAATATTCATTGTAGATAGCATTGAACCAAATCAAACTAACTAATGAGTTTTCTAGAAACAGTATAGTCATGAAACTAGTAGAATATCTTCACTATATTTTGACCAGATCAGTTCATTTTTTTGTCATTAGTAGCATCATAAAAAACTATACTCGAAAGAAATTTCTAAAATATTTTATTTTCAACATTTGAGCTTTTTGCTAGGTTATATTTGACCAGAGTTCAACAACTCTGATTTATTTAGCTCTTGCATGGGTAGTTATCCGCTTAAAAATGGGAGATGTATTTATACGTTCAATTTTTCGAATCAACTTTTGATTAATTTTTACGTTTGAGTTTATGATACTGTTATGATCTACGCTTGCACATAGATTGTTAGTCTATTGTATTGTCATTCATATTATGAAGAAGACATCATATACTCATCCACGTCCTAAAGGTTATCATACTCTAAAATAATTTTAGAGATTTTCTGATTTCAAGACAAACAAAAATATATTCCAACTGACATTCGAAAATTTAATTTAATTTCTTAAAAGTAACCTAGTCCTCAAATGTTTATCTACAAACATACGAAAGTATTTGAAAGCTTTTTTTTTATCAAAATGATTAACGAAATAAGCTCTCTAAAACGGGATATTTTCAAAATAAAACTCATTCTGATTATTACACATCTTGTACTAGATTACTGATGAAAGCATCGAATAGAAAATCAACTTTTAGATTGCAGTATATAGTGTTAGTTCTCAATTGTGTCACTAAGCTGATGATATACGAATAAAAACGAACTTGCAACTTTTTCTACTTAGGGCAGTCCAAAAGTAGTAGCGGAGGTACTTTATTTTCTTACAGAAAACGTTAAAAAAATTTCTTTTTTTATGAACAGATGGGGCGTCTTTCGCTCTATTTTTCTATGCTATTTAATCACTATTCAACTGGTATCATAATAATAAAATTTCGATAAGATCTGTTTTCTTCGCATATGTGCTGGTAGCATGAACGCTCGTGAGTATTTTTTGAATAAAGTTTGAT